ACATGTTGTCCAACTCCTCGGCAAACATTTCCATGGCTGGACCAGGCAAATTAAATGGTAATAATGTTCCAGCTTCTCCTTTCTCGCTCTTGTTTGGTAGTATGAAATAGCTTATCAGTCCATAGCTTTTGCTGGCCCTGCAAACACTGCCTTGCCCCATCCGAAATCCACGTCTTCGAATCCCATTTTTGTCAAATCCGATACACTGTATGTACCCATAACATTACAGACAAGTTTTCCAACTGTTGTCATTGCAGCTGGAAAGACAATGGCATTCCCATAATATCCTGATGCCAACGAGCGATTGGATCTATGATTGCATCACACATTTTTGTCAGGGTCGAGATTTAGACCAATGATGAAGGTGTGCAATGCCATAAGCAAGATGAAGGTGGAGGGGAAGGAGTCTAGAAGAACTAAAACTTCATCGGACCAAAAGAAAAAGAAGCGTTGAACCAACTTGCACGAGTTCGAACAACTCAAACACAGAAGTTGAGTAACTCATGAGTGTTCTCCCTCTCTCTCTCTATCAGAACTAATCTAGCATCCTCCTAGAACAAGCCATGCTCGATTGGCAAGGACATATTTATGAAAGAAAAAAATGCTAAAACTTCAGTTCTGCGACTACGGCTCTTCCTCTCCTTCGTTGATTGGGAGCCTTTTCCACAACCAGCACCGGCGGTGCTACAACCGGTTATTTCAAGGTTAGTGGTAAAGAAGTTTTTCAGTGTAATGCTTTGTCGTCTTCGAATAAAATTGAAACTTTAAGTTCCATAGAAGATTTGCATGAGCTTTACAAGTCTTTCTTCCCCAAATCTCTGTCGCTTTTCCACAGAGCATGCCTTTATCTTCGTTTTCTTCAATCGGCTTGTCTAAAGAACAAAAGCAACAACCGAAATAGTCTCACGGTGACTCTGTTACTAGCGTTATTACTGCAGCTAGTCAAAAATCTGCAACAACCAATTCTCATAATTCTCGATCTAAAAGAAGGTAATATAAAAATTAAAAAGTACATGTTTTTGGAAACTCATCTGGGAAATTTCCCAATATTACCCCAATTTTCATTAAAGCTTTGGTTGTTTGTTTCTTTGATGAAACAACAGGGTATTACAGATGTAGCACTTCAGAGGGAGCGAAGAGGAAAGATGAAAAGAGAGGGAAGAAAGAGGAGATTGGACTTTGGGATTGAACGTGTTTTAGAAGAGAAGAAAGGGGTGGTTGTCATGTAGATTAAGTTCCATCACCGCGGTTCTTCCCCTCCGTTCTTTCTCCGCCAACGAAGGTGAAGGAATGGTAAATGATGTTTGGGGTAGGGTTGTAAATGAGACGAGACAGATCGAGAGCTACTCGAGATCGACTCGATCAAACTCGATAAATACTTGAATCGAATGGACTCGACTCGAGCTTGAGCTCGACTCGAGTTCTTAAAGAGCCTAAACGAGCTACTGGATATTCGACTCGAAAAACTCGTGAGCAGCTCGAAAAAATGTTATATTATAATTTTAGATTTTTTAAAATTACATTATTAAAAATATATTAAAAATACATTATTGATAATTATAAAAATTTAAAAATATATTAAAAATTTTATAATACAATTATCCTCAAATTTTAATTAATGTCCTTGCAAGGAACCCTAAATCTTAAACCGTAAATCCTAAATCTTAAACTCTAAATCTTAAACTATAAACCATAAACCCTAAATTATATTATCTCATAAATCGGTACCAAGTCAATTAATTAATATCTGTGTAATAAATTCTAAACCCTAAACCATAAACTATAAACCCTAAAACCTAAAATCTAAATCCGATTATATGATAGAGGTTAAGTTATGCACATGAAGATAACATATAAATTATGCAAAATGATGTTATGTGACTCCTAAATAAATCAATCGCATACTTATACATAACATATCAACATGCAAAATAAATATACACAACTAATTAAAGAAAACAATCCTAAACAATGACTAAATTAAGAGAAATCTAAATGTGAGGACTAATTTAAGCTAAATATACTAACTTTAGAATGATGATTAAATTCACGTAAATATAAAATTAAACTTACAAAATTAAATTAAACAAATGACTTAAATACAAAATGCTCATAAACTATTGGACAATCCATTGGCTCCGGAATGGTATATCATTTAGTGTCGTTGAGAAGTACAGTGCCGTTGAGGACTAGGACTGTGTGGTTGATATCTTGCCATTGCCGTGTCTCTTTTGATTCAGATATTGTTTTTTTGGTCTGTAAAATTGCAAGTTGAGCACTTGTTTAGTGTGACATCTTTGGCCCAAAACTATACGTTAAGGCACCATTTTGATGAACCAGAATCCAACCATATAAGTATACAAGATTCATGAACAATGGTTCAATGTATTTGTGCGATTCGCCTATGATGCATCAAATACGAACTTTTTATTCTATACAAATGATAATAAATAGAAAACAATAGTATGGATGATAACCTTACAATTTATTGGTTTTTAGAACTGAAATGAACCTTCTCTCCTAAGCAATTACAAATGGTGCACTACTTACTACAATTTATATTATATGTAAAAGTGTACATAAAAACACAATAACAAAAGATAATTATTCAACTATATATTTGTCTCTCAAAATCAATCCTTCATCTACTACTTCTCCTTCGAAATACCTGCTTAGGATCCATCACCTTGCTGCCTGAATTGGCTTCCCCTCCCTTTTCTTTTCCTTTCTCAGACTCTCCTCTCACCATTTTGGCCTCCAACCTCTTCTGCATATCTCTTTCACTTGTTTCAGGTACCCTGCTCCTTATCCCCTCATGTTGCAGCTTATTGTTGCACTCTTGTTTTGCTTCAACTTCGGCTTCTGTGGTGCCTGTCTCACTCTGGTTGTTAACTCTGGTTTATGAGTTGTGGCCCTGGAACCACTCTCTTGTTCAAAAAACAAGACTTGGACCATCGTTCTTAATGGTAGTGATCGTGCAAAGAAGGATAAGGATAAATTTCGTCTCATGAGGAGAAAATCAGTGTTGATTATAAAGAAGAAGCCTTTTTACTGCAACCTTGATCTGGAGATGGAGATAGGGACCGGAGTTGAAAGTGGGTGTGAATTTGGACAACCCCATTGTTGTTGCTGAGCTGTTTGAAAGTAGTTCATATCTCACATCGGTGGTTCTTGGGGATAAGGGGTAAAGAGAGTGTATAAAAGGGGATGGGTTTCAACAATTAAAATTTAACCGTCTTCGAGCTTCAAACGAGCTTAAATCTAGCTCAAAGTCGAGCTTGAATCGAGCTTAAAGTCGAGCTTGAATCGAGCTCAAAATCGAGTTTTAATCGAGTTTGAGTCTCGAGTTTCGGTCGAGCTTTTAATTTTTTTTTTTAGTTCGAGCCTTTTCGAGTTCGAGTCGAGCTTGAAAATTTTAGGCTCGCGAGTTTTTGAGTCGAGTCGAGCTTGCATTTAAAGTTTTCGAGTTCGAGTCGAGCTCGGCAATACTCGAACTCGACTCGGCTCGTTTACATGGGTTAGGATTAGGGATGAGATTTGATTTGATTTTAGTTTTTTATTTATATTTTATTTTAAAAACTTATTTGACATTAAATATTAATACTTTTTATTTGTTGTCAATCTGATGTGGATGTTATTATTAAACTATTTCATGTTATTGATGTGGATGTTTATTATTAAACTATTTCATGTTATTGAGTTAACTATTCCATGTTATTGAGTTAACTATTCCACGTCATAACTTCGTTATAAGGTTAATAGTAGAGTGAATAAAATATTTAAATTTGTAAAGTTCAGTAAGTAAAATAGAAAAATTAAAAGTTAGATGAGTAAAATAAGAGAGAATAAAATTAGGTAAGAAACGATCTATAGTGTTTATATTGTAGATGTGCTATAGTGTTTATATTAATAGATAATTTAAAATAATAAAAATTATAGTTTTGTTTTCATAGATTAAATCAGAAAAATATGTGTACATCATTATAGAAAAAAAATTCATATATATATAAAGATGAGAATTACAAAAGTTTAGCTACTGTTATCACTCTGCAACACCTCTTAAGGCTCAGAGTTCGATCGAGTCGAGTCAGAAAATTTCGAGTTATTTGAATTGTCTAGTCTTATTTTACAACTCGAAGTTGACTTCGAGTCGAGTCGATTTTTTGAGTTTGTGTTTAATTTTAATTGTAAATATTTATAATATTATAATATTATTTGATTCTAATTTAAGTGACTTTTTATAACCATATATACAATATATATATATTTCTTCATATTTTTTCACATGATATACATATATCATACAAAGTCCAAGGACTTGAATTAAACTGGAAAATAAATACACTAATTACTAAAAATTTGAGTTATTCGAGTTGCATTTTACAACTCGATTTGAACTTGAATTTTTTTAAAATTAAGTCGAGTTTATGAAATTACAACTCGAATTCAATTCGATTCGAGTTATTTTAATCGAATTAAAAATAATAATTTTTCGAATCGAGTCGCTCACCCCTTCATCAACAACCAATATAGTCTTGCGTATTTAATTAAAAAAGTTTTAAGTTTTTATTTTACGGAATAAGTATAGTATTATTTTATATGTAATTATTATTGACATGATATAATATTATATTAATAAATAAGTTTAAAATAATAAAAAAATATTTTAATTTTAAGAAATTAAATCAAATAAAAATTATAGGTACATAATTATTTTTTTGAAATAATTTAAGTTAGTATATATTCATAATCTTTTTTAGTTAATAATAATGCACACACAACCTAAAAATACAACTACTCAAACTCAGAATCATTAGAGATAATAACACTCCCGTAAACTAAAAAAACATTTGACTGATTCTATATATGCATAATTATAAAAAAATATTTAATTGACCATTTAATCAAAATTTATATAAAGTTTTAAAATTTATCCCTTCTCTTCCTATAAGCCAAGATAATTTTATTCAAACAAAATAAAAGTATAGTACAGCCGGGACCATTAATATTTTAAATAAAAGCAGATATCAAAAGCAAAGACGCGGCATCAATCACCATGCTTTGACCATAGAGACTTTATCCGCACCAACCCTGCTGTTCTTATCCCTCAAATTATCATTTCTTTTACAAAGCGGAAGAAATTAGCTTTGGTTTACTCTTCGTATCATCGATTGGCTGCTGTTTCAACATGTTATCCACTTCCTCTGCAAACCTTTCCATGGCTTGACCGGGCAAACAAATCGATACCAAAGTTCTGGCTTCACCTTTCTTGCTCTTGGTTGGTGTCAAAAAGCTTATCACCCCTACCGCTTTAGCATTCCCAGCAAACGCCGCCTTACCCCATCCAAAATCCAACTCGTCTAGTGAGGCCCTGGTTAGATCCGATATGATGAATGATCCCATAACATTTGGGAAAACGAGTTGCTTACCACCATTCACCATTAAAGCCGCCACGGATTTCATATATTCCTCTGTCAAGCTTGCTTTCGCTTGTTGTACTAATCCCACCGCATACCCTAACGGATTCTCCCGGAGTTTTTTAACTGTTGTTATTGCCGCCGGAAACAGAAAACCGTTCCCGTAATATCCCGGTGGCAATATTGGTGGGTTGAATTTGAAACGCGCGTTAATAATGGACATCATCCGTACCTCTTCGTCGGGGTCGATATTTATGGCAAGGGTTCGACAGCGCCATAAGAAGGCTGTTAAAAGTTCGAACTTGGTGCAACGGCGAACGTGGGGAGGGAGGAGGCTACGGAGGAGTGAAACTTCAGTATGGCCAAAGAAGAAGGAACGATCAACCAGGTTGTCCGAGGGCCAGGGAGTGGCGGTGGAAAGTTCCACTTCGTCGTACTCGTGGTGCTTGAGTGTAACTTGTGGTGGATGTGGGGCATCTAAGAGATGTCTTTCCCAAACCGGTGGGATCAAGTGAGAGGGTTGGCCTCGTGCCATCGCTGCCACGGCAGACATGAACTGTTTTATACCAGGGCCATCCGTCATCACGTGATTGAGACGAGTGGCGTAAATAAACCCACCGCATCTTAGTCGTGTTACCTATTAACCAAACCAATAAACTAATATTAGATAACTGGTTAAAGGGGTTCGCAGGCCACCTAGCCTATTCAAGATTAATGTTTCCGACATCCAAACAATATATATTAAGATAAATTATGTAGGGTAAATTAAATCGTTTTTCACTAAACTTTAATCTCTCTTATTTTATTTATCGTATTTTTAAATTTTTAATTAGCTCACTAAATTTATATATTAAATCATTTTGCTCACTCCTGTTATCTCTCTAAAGATGTGATAACGTGTCATTTTTTAATTATTATTTAATATAAAATAATTAAAAATATAAAGGGTAAATTACATCGTTCCTCGCTAAACTTTACTTTCTCTTCTATTTTGCTCACACAATTATAACATAAAAACATAATGTGGCCAGATGCCATCGCTGGCCACCGTCGACCGCGTAGATGGTGGTTGTTCAATCCCAAATTTCATAGGTCGTTTCGTCTCAACACCTTGAGTTCGAATCCGACCTCCATTTTGTTGGAACTTGCTCTGAAGTCCACGAATTAGATATTGAAAGTGAGGAAGTAGAAACGTTTCATTCAAGATTCACAGATTTTTGGACATTTTCCCATAAAACAATCACCAGATTTGGACTCAGGGGATCGAGACGAATTGACCCATGAATTTTGAGACCGGACGGCCACCATCAACGACGACAAATAATGGCTGGAATGAAAATTGACGTTGTGGTCGGCAGCTGCAATCGGTCACCTTATTTGCAAAGTAAAGAGAAAATGGGGGGAGAGAAGAGGATTCGAAACGACATCGTTTTGATGTATATTTGAGCTTTTTAAAACGATGTCGTTTTGATGCTTGTATCATGTCGTTTTGATGTATATGATTCAATCTGTAGAGTTCAGTGAGCAAATTATAAATATGAAAAGTACGGTGAGTAAAATAAGAAAGAGAGTAAAGTTCATTGAGGAACGGTGTAATTTACCCAATTATATATCTAGTTACTCAATTATTTATATAATTCCGCTTTAATTATTTAATTATTTTTTTAAAATCATATATTAAAGTTTTATTTTTATGTGAACAAAACCAAGTTACGAAAATTATTGGATAGCTAAATACGTATTTTACCCTATATATGAATCGAAAATTTTAGTACCTGAATCAACAACAATGGGCAGTTTATCATCCCTTCAGAGCCAGGAACATCAAAAAGGAGTTGATCAAAGCAAGGAAATGGAGGCCGAAGTTCATCACCAAACTGTTGAAGAGTAACATCAGCCTCGGCCTTTATAAACATCACTCCTTCACCGTTGCAGTCCACAATAAGCTTACCATTAGCCCCTTCCCTTAGTCTACCTGCAAATGGATAATATAACACTAGGGTTTGAGCTAGTGCGGCCTTAATAACATCAGCAGGATCCTTCCCTTCCATGGAAGGATGGTGTCGATAAATATGGATAAACGGAATTTGAAATCGTAAACTCGCTTGATCATCGATATCTGATAACGGTTTTTGTTCACGCGGTGTAGGCTTTGCCGGAGCTACAAGTTCGGGTTCACATCGTCGAACAGTGAATGTGAGAGGAACGACGGAAGGTGTTGCCATTGAAAGAGAATGTGATATGATAGAGAAGAAAAGCTAGTGTTGGAATCATAATCGAATGTTTGTAATGATTTATATAGGAAACCCTAGAGTATGAAATTGAAGTCGTTATTCACGTGAAAAAATTTCAAGAGACTTATATTGATCGGAAGTGGTCACAATATCAAAACTATCAATGTTATTCCAATACGTAACGTAAACTTGATCGATTACGTAACGTAAACTTGATCGATTTATTCTCATGAATTTTTTTTTTTTTTTTGCTAATTAGATTGTTAAACTGTTGAAAGTGTTTAATTTTTTATTAGAAGTTTAATTTAACTCGTTTTTATATATAATTGAAATTTAATATAACAAGTGAATAATTAGATATTTCGTAGAAAAGCATCTATTGTCTTTCTATAAATTATTAAGAAATAATATGCAATTGCATAAAAGAATTCTTTCATATTTTCAGGAGAAATTATTTAATGAACTCTTCTTACAACGTAGGATATAAACTCAACCAATAAAATTATAACATGTCGGCATTATTCTCTTAATCACCATTAAATTTAAGCTTAATTTTTAATCACGTATTTATTTCCATATTAGCATTAAATCTCTGTATCTTCTTCAACCTTTTAACTCCTTTATTCTCTCCCTTGTTAAACCACAATCACCATAGCTACTGCTACTTTGCTTTTTTCCCTCCCTACACTCATCCTCGGCAGCTGAGCTGCTTTTCGTCGTCGGTAGAAACCACGAAGTCGATTTTGTTAAGATGATGAACAAGCTTTCTGGAGACATGTTTTTGTTCCCTGAAGGATTGGTACCCATTAATACAATGCTGATCTAAAAATCCAGCTGTATCCCGATTTCTGCGTTTGGAAGTGCAAATGCAGGAATTGCACCGTTTTTTAAAATTCTTTTTGCAACCAACACTGATGATATTGCATCGGCTAAATCATTCAAAACTGATGTTTCTACCATTCAAGTGCAAATCCTGCTAGGCTCCTTGTTTTATTTATTTTCTTTACTACATCATTCGTGATCTCAACAAATAATATTTATCCATATCATATTTTATATGGTGAGAAGGGCTCGTAACATAATTTCTCTTTTTTCAGAGAAAAATTATATCATTAGACTGAATTACTTTTTTTTTATTCAGATTTCTAAACTCCCTTAATTTGGAGTTAAAAACAGTACTAGAAGCTATTCGATTTCAATTGTTTTTCAATTTTCACAATTTAAAACATTTTTGGTATTTTTATAAACTGGACAAATGAAAATAACTCCTAAATAATTATCTATTTTTTATTTTTATATGAAAAAAGAGATAACGAGGTGCAGACAATTTCCATTCAAACTTGACATGTAAATTTGTCCAAAGGTCAAGTATATGTTGAAGCCCAAAAAACCTTATCTCATGAAACACGTGGCCTAATAATAACCATTCATATTTTTGTCAATTTCCCCGAGTTTGCCTGTTTTTCACGTGTTTATAATTTTTTGATAGAAGATTTTCGAGCGTTTATATAAACAAGGATGAACTGAGGCCCTAGAAATTTAATTTTTTATATTTTATATGAATTATTTAATTTTGTATCTCTTGAGATTTTATAATATTGCACTTCCTAAAGTTTTAATATAATTTTTTTTATGTTTTTACCTCTTTACACAAATTTCTGCATCTATACCTATATATAAACGCCCCTTCTATCAGGCATTGGAATTACGGCCATGAACGTTTTGTGTCGTCCAATTCTATTATTATGAAGTTTGATTCAAAAAAATAAAATTAAGTTGCACTTGATTTGACCGTTTGCGAATTTGAAATTATTAAGCTTGATTAGAGTTTGAAATTTAAAATTGAAATTCGGCTTGAAATCGAACAAATAATTTTAAACATTCTCAAACTTAGATGGATTGAAATTCGAATTTGAACTCTAACCTAAATTTTAAGTACATAAAAAAACTTATATTATATTTAAAAACATATAAATACTAATATAATTATTAAATTAATTTTAAAAAAGACTTTAATATGTTATTGAATGTATTCAATGTATAATAAAATCACATTGATTGCCGTACCAACAGATAGTCGGCCATATTTATACCTTTTTTTCATTCATTTGCTTAAGTTAAATTATATTATATTATATTTAAATCTAATAATGCATTAATAAAAAATGATAATGCAAATATATAATTACTAATATAAAAGTATATTTTTAAAAATTTCAAATGAAAAACTATAATAAAAAAGTTCGACTTAATTTCATTTTTCTATGAAAATATAAATTTAAATTTAATCGGACTCCATACATAAGCATCTCTACTCTTAATTGTGCGGTCTATCTATGCATCCTATGATTGTCGCTCAACAACCGTCCCATGTGAGTTTCATTTAAGCTACCACGAATTGTAGATACGTTGAATTTTAGAGATCCGAATGGAGGGGCGCCCACAATATTTACTACTAAATGTTTCAGGCATTGAAAGGATAGTTGCCGACATATCCATGGTTTCTTAAGAGTGAACGTGTTTGAATTTCTTCCGTTAATTATATATTTTTATTTATAATATTTATTTTATATTGTATAAATTAAATTATTTTTGTAGTTAAAAAATTTATTTTTATTCTTAAAAATATCGAGTTTAAACATCAATTATTGTATCAAAAGTGATTAACGTTTATTGTTAAATGGTTAAGAATATTTAAAATAAAACTATTCTTTATATAAACGAATCTAGAAAACATTTATGAGCTGGGCACATATAAATGTATAAAAAAATATCTAATAACTAATATATTTTTTAATTTAATAATATAATAGCAATTATATATATATAGAAAAATATATTAATTGGAGCAATATATATTAATTTTTTAACATAATTTGTACATGTTTTTATTTAGGGTAAATTTTATATTTGGTCACCCACCTATTATTATGTTTTTTGTCATTCATCTATTATTTTTTTTTTCAAAATCATGTATGATGTTACGCATTGGTTCTATTTTTTTAAAATTATTTTTAATCCTAATGTGGTATTATCTTATGATAACAAACTAACATCAACGTTAATTTTTTTTAAAGACAAATGACCAAAACAAAACCAAAATGTAACTTTAGGTATTATTTAAAATAAATAATAGTTAGATGACTAAAATAAAAATTAAACAATAAGTGGGAGACTAAAGAGTAATTTATTCTATTTTTGGCATAGAGTGGATCATGGCGTAGGTAAGCCTAAATCTAGATATGTCAAGGAGTCTTTGTAAACACCTTAACTTTTATATATATAAATATTCATCTCATTTAAATATTTTATTTTAATAACATAATTTATTCATCTTAAAAAATATTTCTAAATTTATCCATAACCAAAATCCGCGTGGTAAATTGTCGTTTACATATTTAACAGAATACGACCATTAACCATTAGAACATCGCAGTCTAAGGGAATTAATCTTGGTCGACCTTAATCCCTTTAAAAACTAACCATCACGTAGCAGCCACAAAGACCACACGAACCCAAAAAGATACATTGTCTAAGACCCAAGTAATGTTAAATCTCGAGTTTTGTCTATAACTAATATTTCTCATCGATAAAAAATAATATTCCAATATGAACAATTAAAATGAATAATTTCTTTTAAAGAAAGTTAAATTAACTATTTTATTTTTATAATTTCATTTCTTTGATTAAAATATCGATTTTATATTTGAAGCTCTACAGTTTACCAAACATTTATGCATACAACAATTTGCTTTACAAACAATAAGACTTATCATATATTACTCTTCAAGCAATGTCAATGCTCCATCTTTGCCAATACTATACGATAAACTGATTAAGAATAAGGGTTGGATATATAATATTATTCAATAATTGTAACTATTGACAATTCATTTTAAAGTCATTAAGCTTCATAGTCTTCATTCAGTTAACACTATCAATGTCTTAACATGCAGGAAAACATTTATCAATAGAACAACACTGAATGGCATGCATTAGTAGCATCATATGGTGAACAGATCAGTCTACTCCGTGCACTGAATTGGATAGCCTTTCAACATATTATCCAATTCTATCCCAAATCTTTCCATGGCTGTGTTAAGATAGCAATGAAGCTATCTGCAGAAATAGAAAAGTAAACAGTACGAGGAAAAGTAAACATTTGAAAATCATTTCATTAATCATAATCCATTCTTTACAAGGTGAGAGAGCTGGCTATTTATACTAGATCAACATGATAACAAATAAGAGACATCTTGATTAGTCGCGACAATGATAAATTCAATCATGAGAAGAAAAAAGATAGACGAAAATAACGGTCAAACAATTAAAAACGTACCATAGAGACGGGAAATCACGTTATAAAGGCGGGGTTATTAAAAAAAGGATAAACTACACATTTAGCATCTATACTATTATTTTTATTCCGTTTTGGTACCCAAACTTTATTATTTTTTCAAAATCATACATAACATTTAGTTTAGGTTTTAATTTGCTACCCGCCGTTAAAAACTTAATAGAACTATTGACGTGTCATTTTTTTATTTTATCAATGAAGATGTGGCAGTATCTTACGATGACACATCAACATCACCATTAAGTTTTTTACGTTGGAGTACCAAGTGAAACTTAAATTAAACGTTAGATATGATTTTGAAAAAAAAAACATAAACATAACAAAAATAATAGTTTAGATATCAAATGTGTAGTTTACCCTAAAAATTAAAAGACAAAAGAAAAACAAATATGTGATATAAAAAGCAAATGATAAATAACATATATCGGTGATGGAGACCAACATCAAAACTAGTATAATCATATGTTAACTAAGGATGAAAAAAGAGAGGGAGAGATAAACAACTTGTATAGTATTCTAAAGACATAACGATACAATTACTCCTAACGTTTACATAAATAATATTTTATCTTTACTCTTTTTTCTAGAACATTTTAGCTAATGTTGAAGGATAATATTAAAACAGAAATTTGATTTTTGTTATTTTTTTTACTTAGTCCTACTATCAGCTTTGTAACCAAACTGTTTCAGGATAACACCTTCACCTCACCATTGCAATCCACTTCAAACTTGTCATTAGTCGCTTCCCTCAGCCTACCAGTAAATGGATCATAACTTAATTAAAACACATACTACTTTAACATGCAAGGACCTTTATTACTATGATAAACATGCATTAATAACATCATAATACAACACATAGTACTTTAACATCTGGTGAACAGATCACTATAACATCTGGTTTACAGATCACTATAACAGTCTTAAAAACGACACCAAAGACTACTTAACAGAGCATTTGAAATAAAATTTTCTCTACTCTTCTCCGTACATTGAATTGGATAGCCTTTCAACATATTATCCAATTCTGTCTCAAATCTTTCCAAAGCAGAAAATAGTTTTGATTAACTCTTTTTATCCTCCATTGGCTGCTGTTTCAAAATGTCCAATTCATCGGCAAACCTTTCCATGGCTGGAGCTGGCAAACAAATTGGTACCAATGTTCCATCTTCTCCTTTCTTGCTCTTGCTGTTGGGGAAAACGGGTTATTTCCCACACGAACGTAGTTTTAAAATTGACCTAAAATGTCAAGATTAAAACCACCAAAGGTTGCACAACGGATAAACCTGTCAAACTATTGAATATTGAAACACAATGGAAAAGAACCGAATAAAAAACAATAAAGGAGAGAACACACCAAATTTACGAGGTTCGAAAAGAATATCGTCTACTCCTCAGGCACCACACCGGATGATAACTTCACTATATCGCCAATATTACAACAAATGAATTCTTTAGAATTCCCAAAGTGGGAGAATGAAGAATACAAGAGGAAGAGAGAACTTGTTTTTGGGATGATTTCTAATGGAAATACTTAGGCCTATTTATAGTTGAGTTTCAAGAACAATATGTTCAAAGTTTGGCCACCTACCAAAGAATTTTCCAATGTGTACAAGTTAGCCACCAAATATGAAATTCACATGTTCAAAGTTTGGCCACCAACCAAGATGAAATTTCCAATAAGTTGGCCACCAACCAAGATGAAATTTCCAACTTGTCAACTTAATTTCTAGACAAATCTAACAAATCTCCACCTTGGCTTGAAATTACCAAGCCTACTCAACTTCTTCAACTCCCCAAATTTGTAGTGCCTCTAATTGCGCTCACAAGCGCCACACACCCGAAGGTGTTCATACTTTCAGGATGTTAATCAAGTTCAAACAATGATTGAACTTGATTACTGTTACCACCTTGGTCATCATATCTGCAGGATTTTCTGATGTCGCAATTTTCTGAAGTAGAATCTTTCCTTCTTCAAAGATCTCCCGCACAAAGTGATACCTCACGTCGATATGCTTAGTCCTTGAATGGTAGACTTGATTTTTCGCTAAGTGAATAGCGCTCTGACTGTCACAATAGAGACTAATGTGACTTTGAACAACTCCCAAGTCTTCCATAAACCCGTTAAGCCAAATTGTTTCCTTTACAGCCTCTGAAACTGCCATGTATTCTGCCTCTGTAGTAGACAAGGCCACTGTATATTGAATTGTAGACTTCCAACTTACTGGGGCTTTAGCAAGAGTAAACAAATACCCAGTAGTTGATCGACGCTTATCCAAATCACCAGCATAATCGGAATCAACATATCCAACCATACACTGACCAAGTGCTTCATCCTGTTCAAAAACTAAACCAACATCCACGGTTTGTTGGAGATACCGTAGAATCCATTTCACATCTTGCCAATGTCCTTCTCCAGGATCATGCATGTACCTGCTCACAACTCCAACTGCTTGTGAAATGTCAGACGCGTACACACCATTGCATACATCAAGCTCCCAACTGCATTAGCATATGGAACTTTTGCCATATACACTCATTCTTCGTTAGTTTTACGAGATAATTGAGAACTAAGTTTCAAATGAGAAGCCAATGGGATACTTACATGTTTGGTATTTTCATTCATGCCAAAACATTGTAATACCTTTCTCAGATACTGCTTCTGTGTTAAACAAAGTTTCCCTCTCTGTCTATCTCTGCTTATCTCCATACCAAGAATCTTCTTGGCCTTACCTAGATCTTTTATCTCAAACTCTTGATTCAAATGAGCCTTTAATTTGTCTATCTCCTTTTGACTCTTCGAAGCGATCAACATATCGTCAACGTACAAGAGAAGATAAATGAAAGATCCATCTTTGAGCTTTTGCAAATACACACAATGATCATATTTTCTTATAGTATACTTTTACCTCCTCATAAAGCTATCAAATCACTTGTACCACTGCCTCGGAGATTGCTTCAATCCATATAGCGATTTGTTCAGCTTACAAACCCATTTCTCACAACCACCATCTTTGTATCCTTCTGGTTGTGTCATATAGATCTCCTATTCTAAATCACCGTGCAAGAAAGCCGTCTTTACATCAAGTTGAGCTAGCTCCAAATTCAACTGTGCTACCAAGGCCAACAATATTCTAATGGAGGAATGCTTCACAACAGGGGAAAATACTTCATTGTAGTCGATTCCCTCCTTTTGAGCGTAGCCTTTAGCTACCAACCGTGCCTTGTAGCGAACATCTTTCTTGTTATGAGATCCATCTTTCTTTACAAATACCCACTTGCATCCAATGGCTCTTTTACCTTTCAGTAATTGTGCCAGTTTCCAAGTGTCGTTCTTTTGGAGAGATTGCATTTCTTCATCCATGGCACTTTTCCACTTATCACTTTCCAAGCTTTGTATTGCTTCTTGGTAAGTGATAGGGATATCATCATCAACAACTGGAAGAGCATAGGCCACCATATCAACAAATCGAGCAGGTCTACGAATTTCTCTCCTTGGCCTTGTAACTGCAAGTGTTTCTGGCGTCTCCAATGGTTCTTGGGTTTGAACCTCTTCATCTTCTGATTCTTCTATTGGAGTTGAAGAATCAGCTGCATCAATTTCTGGGATCATCATCTGCTGAAACTCCACCTGTTTTGGAGTATGTTCCACCTGCTGCGGAGTACTACTTGTCTGGACAGCTTCACTTGTTACCTTCTTTACTAGGGCAGATTCATCAAAGGTAACATCTCTGCTACAAATTACCTTCTTGGTGTCTAAACACCAAAGACGGAATCCCTTCACTCCATGGGTGATTCCCATAAAGAGAGCCTTCTTTTCTCTCGGATCAAGCTTGGATTCCTTCACATGATAATATGCAGTGGATCCAAATACATGTAAGGAATCATAATCAGTAGCAGGTTTTCCAGACCATACCTCCAATGGTGTTTTTCCTCCTATCGCTGATGACGGCAGACGATTAATGAGCTGGCCAGCATATATCACAGCCTCAGCCCAAAATGCCTTGCCTAACCCAGCATTAGACAACATACATCGAACTTTCTCCAATAGTGTTCGATTCATACGCTCTGCCACCCCATTCTGTTGTGGTGTATGTCTAACAGTGAAGTGTCGAACAATACCATACTCATGGCAAACGTCAAAGAATGGGTCACTTTTATATTCCCCTCCATTGTCCGTCCTAAGACGTTTGATCTTTCTACCAGTCTGGTTCTCGATCATATTTTTCCATTTCAGGAAAATTTGAAGAACTTCATCTTTAGACTTCATCGGATACACCCAAACTCTTCTGGAAAAGTCATCTACAAAAGTTACAAAATAATGGTTTCCTCCCAAAACGATGTCTTTGAAGGACCCCATACATCTGAGTGAATATAATCTATAATACCTTTTGTATTATGTATAGTGGTGCCAAACTTCACTCTCTTCTGCTTTCCCAGAACACAATGCTCGCAAAAGTTCAATTTGCAAGCCTTTGCACCTTTCAACAATCCTTTCTTTGCCAGGATTTGCAAGGATTTCTCTCCAGCATGTTCCAACCGCATATGCCACAACTGGGTTGCGTCCAAATCATCACCTCCGGAAGCTGCTGCAACTGCTCCAATAATTGTACTACCTTGGTAGTAATACAAATTATTTTTCCTGATGCCCTTCATCATCACAAGTGTGCCATATGTGACTTTTAAAACTCCATCTCTCATAGTGACTACTGAGCCTTTAGATTCTAAGGCTCCCAACGAGATGAGATTTTTCTTCAAACTGGGCACGTATTGGACATCCGTCAGAACTCTGGTTGATCCATCTTGATTCTTCAATCGAATTGAACCTATCCCAACAGTTTTACAGGCATTATCATTGCCCATATAAACAACTCCTGCATTTAGTTCCACTAAATCGGAGAACCACTCCCGATTAGGGGACATATGATAGGTGCAACCCGAATCTAATATCCACTCATCGGAATGGAATGTTGTTGATGAAGCAACCAATGATATGTCAGAGTCATGTGCATCATGCTCTGCAACACATGCATCTGGAGCGGGTTTTTCTTTCTTCTTCAGCTTCGGACAATCTTTCTTCCAATGGCCTTTCTCATGACAAAAGGCACATTCATCTTTTCCCAGTTTGGACTTCGACTTTGATCTCCTTCTCCACTTTGGCTTTTGACTTTTCGAGCGACATCTTGCCACCATGGCCTCTGCTACTTCGTACTTGCTCTCCTTCTTGGTTTTCTTCCTGAGTTCATAACTATACAAAGCAGCAGTTACATCTTTAAGGGTGACATTATCCTTACCATGAAGTAACGTTGTCTCAAGGTGCTCAAATTCATCTGGAAGAGATGACAACAACATCAAAGCCAAATCTTCATCTTTGAAGGTTTCATCCATGCCCAATAAGTCTTCCACTAGCTCATTGAACGCAGTGATGTGCTCATTCATACTGGTGCTTGGTTGATAATCAAATCTGAACAATCTTTTCTTCATGTAGAGACGATTCTGAGAGCTTTTCTTCAGGATTTTTTCCTCCAAAGCTTTCCATATCTTACTTGCAGAAGTCTCGTTCTTGTAGCCATACTTCTGCTCCCTGGAAAGACAAGATCGAATCGTGTTGCACGCCAATTGTTCCCCATTCTTTCTCCTCCATATATTAGGGCTTTTCTTCCTCAATGGCGATGTCTAGACCTTATTGAAATAAAGCGTCTAACACCTCGCCTTGCCACATGCCAAAATGGCCGGATCCATCGAACAACTCCACCGAGAAATTTGCATTTGACATCACCCTCCTCACCGGTCCAGATGAAGAGCTTGATGTCTCAACTGATCCGTATTTTGGCATTTTAATTCTAACGAACAATATTCAATATCACGAACTGTATCTTTTCAACAACGGAACCACTAGGATAACCTCAACCGAAGCTCTGATGCCAATTGTTGGGGAAAACGGGTTATTTCTCACACGAACGTAGTTTTAAAATTGACCTAAAATGTCAAGATTAAAACCACCAAAGGTTTCACAGCGGATAAACCTGTCAAACTATTGAATAATGAAACACAATGGAAAAGAACCGAATAAAAACAATAAAGGAGAGAACACACCAAATTTACGAGGTTAAAAAAAATATCGTCTACTCCTCGGGCACCACACCGGATGATAAATTCACTATATCGCCAATATTACAACAAATGGAATTCTTTAGAATTCCCAAAGTGGGAGAATGAAGAATACAAGAGGAAGAGAGAACTTGTTTTTGGGATGATTTCTAATGGAAATACTTAGGCCTATTTATAGTTGAGTTTCAAGAACAATATGTTCAAAGTTTGGCCACCTACCAAAGAATTTTCCAATGTGTACAAGTTAGCCACCAAATATGAAATTTACATGTTCAAAGTTTGGCCACCAACCAAGATGAAATTTCCAATAAGTTGGCCACCAACCAAGATGAAATTTCCAACTTGTCAACTTAATTTCTAGACAAATCTAACACTTGCTTTCTATGAAAAAGCTTATAACTCCAAGAGCTTTTGCTGGCCCTGCAAACACTGCCTTACCCCATCCAAAATCGACCTCTTCGTATCCCATTTTCGTTAAATCTGATATGATGTATGAACCCATAACGTTAGGTAAGTGGAGCTGTTTACCCCGACTCACCATTAAAGCTGCCACTGATTTCGGGTATTCCATTTTCGTGTTTGCTTTGACTTGCTTCACTAGTTCCACTGCATACCCTAGTGGGTTACGGACAAGTTTTCCAACTGTTGTGATTTCAGAGGGAAAGACGAAGGCATTCCCATAATATCCTGACGGCAATGAGGGATTGGATCTAGGACGTAAGTTTGCAGCGCATAGCATGCGGACCTTTTCGTCAGGGTCGAGATTTAGAGCAATGGTTCGACAACGCCATAAGCAAGCTGTTAGGAGTTCGAACTTTGTGAAATTGTGAAGGTGGGTTGGGAGGAGCATACGAAGAACTGAAACTTCATCGGGGCCAAAGAAAAAGGAACGTTGAACCAAGTTGTCCGATGGCCAGGTGGCGGCGGCGGTGGCTTCCACTTCATCATACTCGTGATGCTTGAATGTAACTAGTGGTGGATCTTCAGCATCGAAGAGATGTTTTTCCCAAACTGATGAGATCGAGCAAGAGCTTGCGCCTCGTGCTATTTCGCCCATATCGAACATGAATTGTTTTATACCGGTACCATCACATATTACATGATTAAACCGGATTGCAAAGATGAAACTACCACATTTTAAACGTGTTACCTGTTAAGAGAATTATTTCACACTTAAATTTGGACTTGTTCATCTTAACTTGTACTAGTAAATATGAATTCAAAATGATGAACGATAAACTATTTATTACCTGTATTAACAACAATGGGTAATTTAACGTCTCATCAGAACCTGGAACATTATAAAGGAGTTCATCAAAGAAAGGAAATGGAGGGTGAAGTGCAGCACCAAATTGTTCAACTGTAAGATCGGCATCCGCCTCTATAAACAACACACCCTCACCAGTGCAATCCACTATAAGCTTACCATTAACCCCTTCCCTTAGTCTACCAGCAAACGGATAATAAAATACTAGGGTTTTTTTGGAGCGCCTCCTAATAATCTTAACTGGGTCTTTTCCTTGCATGGCAGGATCAAACCTATAAAATTGGTTATACGGAACTTGGAACCGAAGGCTTTGTTGATCGTCGATGTCAGATAATAACTTACGTTCATGTGGCGAGGGCTTAGCCGGAGTGACAAACTTCGCTTTGCATCGTCGGACAGCAAATGCGGAAGGTATTTCAGAATCTATTGCCATTGTATTTGAATATACCTATGGGGATGGCAATCCTTTGCGGAAGTATTTATAATTCAAAACTTTACTATTTACAAATTTTAGGTGGCCGTCACGTGTACCTCTTATTTGTTTCTTGTTTACTTCTTCTATTCTTTATTTGTATCTTATATTGAATATATACATAGCTTTAACAAGCATATCTTACCAAAAGAAATGATAAAACTATACTTCAAAGGTAATTGACATATTTGACTGATTTATTTGAATAAATGTAAAAAAATAAGACATATAAGAGTAAAAATAAGAAATAAGTGATATTATTTATTAAATTTTTTAATAGTACATTTTGAATAGAATACTTTTTAAAACCAAAACAGTAGAAATTATTTGATAGACCAGGCTGACCAAGTCATCCATGATTTAGTGAATGAGAGTCACAATCTTAAAATAACTTCCAAATAACTACTCATTTCTTATTTACATATAGAAAATGGTGAAGATTTGACTTAAAAATAATAATATAGATAAATATTATTAATTGAGATTAAGAATAATGGAGTGAGCCCAAACATCTAATAATTGTTTCTAAAAGAGACTTTTAACGGTAGACCAGCGGCCATGTTTCGCGTGGAGGACGAAAAGAGAAGCGATTGTTATGTTGCACCGCAATATATGGAGAAAGAGTAAATGCACGAGAAAGAAACAAAATCGTGTATTGAAAGGGTTACAAATTTCATAATTATATGCAATATTTAAATAAATTTTAATTATTAAAATTTACTTCATCTATATTATGGATGAAACACATTCTATATAAACAATACTTTTATAATTTAATTTGATTAAAATTATTTTTTAATACTACAAAGAAAATAAGAGAATGATTATGTTAAATGTTCAACAAAAACAGGTTTTTAGCGGCGTTTTTTCAGTCATATAGCGGCGTTTTAACCGTCGCTAAACTCCCTTGTGACGAAATAAAAAACGCCGTCAAAAGTGTCGCCGCAAAAGGTAGTGGTGTTTGTCATCCACAAACTCCGCTAAAGGTTATGATTTTTAGCGGCGTTTTTGAAAAAAAAACGCTGCTAAAGGTTACGATATTTAGCGGTGTTGTTGAAAAATATCGCTATATATCTTTTCTTTTGTTTCGTTTTTAAAAAATGTCGTTAAATGTTCTGACATATATTGGCGTTTGTTTCCAAAAACGCCGATAAAGGTAATGACATATAGCGACTTTTATGAATGTAAAACGCCGCTATTGACTATGGCTATAGTGACGTTTTCTGTATAAACGCCGCAAAAGATCTAGAACTGTAGTGCATTTTTTCTAAAACGCTGGTATTGAGTATGTATTTAGTGGCTTTTGTTATACAAACGCCGCTAATTAACATTGATTTTCCAGATGTTGTTTTATGTTCTTTTGTTACCCAAATTTAAAATTTTAACATGTAGCATTATCCAATAAACTTGACATCCATAACAACAAACTTGAAATCCATAACAACCAACTTGAACTCTATAATAATAAATCAAAGTTTACATTAATGTAAAATATAATGTAGTTTAACATTGTTTACTAGAATAAACAAAGCATATATCTCAAATAACACCTAAGATGGTGGACTCTGGGGTTGATTTGTTCGTATCATTGCATCATAGCTTGAAGTCGATTTTCAAAGGCTTTACATTTTTTCTGATATGCTGCTTCTCTCTCTGTTTCCCTCACTTATTTTCGGCTTTCATTTTAGCAACTTTTTGATCCATTTCAGCCAACTGTTGTTTTACATGACTAACTTCTAATTGGGAAGACTGACTCTTTGATGACATGTATTGAGATGTATTGGATCCAAAATATTTGGTTGGAGTAACGAATGATCCTTGACAGCGAACCTGACCATATCTTTTAGGACCCAAAACTTCATTAATAATTTGATTTTCGATGTCATCCGCATTAACAATACCATGACTTGAAGTCGTAGCTTCATACTCTACCCTTTTATCCCTCAATTTTTCCTAATAATCAATTAGATAATTATTTTAAATAAGAATGGAATACTATAAATATAAATATAAATATAAATATAATGTAAGACCCCTAACCCGTATCCGACCCGGATCCGAGTCTGAGGTGTCATTGACTTTTCAAAACTTGTCTCTTATAAAAATCATGAAATCTAAACTTTCATTAAATAAAATTAGTTATTTTACATAATTAAAAACGTTTGGTTTTACAAAACATATCAGAGCATATTCGATTCAGATCTAATAGTACATGTCAACTATATTCAAAGGAACCAAAATACATATTAATTATTATTATTTTTTTATATGAACTTAGTAAGGAAGATGCTGACCTGTCTTGCTCCCCTTAGCTATCTTCTCGCTTTCCAACCTACATGTGAAACATTCACACGTTAATCGATGACTTAGTGAGGCAAACATATAATGGAAACTCTAACTTATAATCATGCATGAATAATTACTGCAATCATATCATACACAACATATATTCTTTCATATATCAAATCCAACATTCAAATATATAATTATACCTGTTGAACGGGTACCGATACCCCCTTAGCCAGAATTCACTTTTAAGCCCGAAAATCACTCCAAATCTACTTAAACAGATCATGTTTCATCCCCTATCATATTCTTAACTCACATACACATGCTTAAACTCATTAATACCCATTTATCACATCTTAAACCTCAAAATCCTATCAACCTCATGGAATTCAAGAATTAAACTAAATTTTCAACAAGTTCTAAATTTAATTCTAACACTTAATATCTCTTAATTCAACCATTGACAAGTTAAATTTAACTTCTAATTCTACTTATCAACTCTATTCCAAGTTTTCATTCAAAAACTCCAAATCTTTAATCTCTCCTAACTCATTCATTCTTTGATTTTAAGATAACTTAAGCTTTCCTTAAGCTTAATTATCATTTAATGATCATAACCCAATCTTAAATTCAGCTAAAAATCAACTAATAAGAAATCTTACCATTGCTTGAAGTTCCACAGCTGAAGAAGAAGAGAGTTTTTGGAGAACTCTTTTCTTTTCCTCTTAAGCCCTACGTGATATATATATAGCCTACAAAAGAAAGATAAAAAATCTTTCTTGTCAAGTGACCATTTTACCCTTATTACTTTTAAACTTTACTATTAAATCCAACATAAAAATTCTCTAATTAAATCCCTGAACTTTTCAATCTTTCAAAATTATGCCTCAAAGTTCCAAAAATTCTATTTTGGTCACTAACCCGACTTTTAGGATGTTACAAATCTCCCATCCTTTTAAAAAAATCGTCCTCGAATTTTTACTGCATACATAAATAAGAACATATCTTCTAATGTTCTCATGTTCTTCCTCTAAATACTTTTGACCTTTGAACATCCATCTAATGTCATTTATCATATAAACAGTCACACTCATTCTTAGTACTCAACATCATAAATCAACTGATTTCCTTCATCATATATGATTAAAACATACACTTTGCAAAATCCAACAATCTCTTTATAGAATCCAACAATCTCTTTATAGAATCTTACCGACTTTTCTTATTTCTGTATCAAACTTATAATTCATGCCTTAATATAACTTTTATCATATCTGATCTTTTAAACTTCATCCTTTTCATTTCCTTATAACATAAATTAAAGTCTCCTTATAGCATAGGTTGTATCTTTTCCTTCATATTCCCAGACTCTTTTATACTCATCTTTGATTATCAATATTTATTGCAAATCCACTTAATACTTAATTAGCTTAACTTATCATCATCTTCAAATCCTTTAACTCCAATGCACTTACGATCATATAATTTTGCTAGTCAACGTCAATATTTCCAATCTAGAGTGTAAACTTTTATCAAACCATTCATATACATTATTTCCCTTTAGAATTAACCCATCAATAATTTACTTAACTTATCCAATCTGCATTCATACTCATACACAATGCAATCTCCTTTGTTCAAACTCAAGCATTACAACTTCCTTTATCTTACAACTGATCACTGATATATCCATTCTTAAACTCTTCATAACAATATCTACATCACTTGATCCATTTTAGATACTTCTTCTTCAATTTATATACATAATTCCCAATATAACTTTCAATCCAATTCACCACTTTCATATCTAAAATTAACTTCATATCTATCTTTTAATTCCTTATTTAATCTTTCAGTACCAAACTCTACTACTTAAGTGAGTCTAACTTTCATCAAATTTAATCTCTCAACATGAAATACAGTTGATTCTAACCAATGTTGTTTTTGAAACCCATAATTTATGTATCTCTTTGATAATACTAATCTTTATAAATACCAATTCTCTTAATCGTTCTGAGCTTTCTCTTTAGAACTTTAGCACAAATAACTACTTCTTGAAAAAGGAACGATTTCAACATCAATAACATTCTTTTTCCGTCGAAATTTTCCTCAATGGTATCTTACTCAACTTTTCAAACTCGTACTTTTACTCATACACAGTACTATTCCCCTATTCTAAACTTAAGCATTCTAACTTTCTTTGTCTTATAAACTGATTGTTGATATATTGATTCTTAAACTTTTCTATTACTCTTTAACTTCCCTTAAACATATGAATCCTTATCTCCTTCACTACATCACATTTACATGATCGAGATACACAACTATATCCATATTCGTTTCATATTTGGTAAACTTATCCTGACAATATCTTCAAATCTTTTAACTCTAATACACTTTTCCTCACATATCCTTATTAGCCAGCATCAACTCTTTCACTTTATCTTATACGCTTGTTATTGATGCACTTATTCTTGAACTCTTCTACAAATTCTCACCGCATCATTTGATCTTTTAATGTCCTTATAGTGATTCACTATATTCTATCTTATCCACGTAATAACAAAACTACTCTATATCACTTTTTCGATTCAAAACAGTAGAAACTTTCAACCACTATTCTGATATGATTTCAACTTTCTGAAATCAACATTTGATCTTACGAAGCACTT